ACTCCTCAAAAATCATTTCATGAAAAAGTTGAAAATCGAGTTTTTGTGATGAGTTTCAGTGGAAATTGGCTTCCAACAAAAAAGTGCCAGCCTCTAATTGAATGCCACCCCCTAATACAGTGCTACCCCAGACCACCCCCGTACAATAGAGCGCCATGGCTATCTATTTTTCAACCTCCTTCTCAGGGAATTGTCAAAAACAGAAATCGCCAAAAAATTTTTTAGAAACAAAGAAACTTTCGAAAGACTTTCTGCAATAACCGAATAGACAAACTGCGCTGTACAAACTGCACTAACTGAACTGTCCGAACTACTGTTAGAGGTTGCGCTTCTATGTTTTTCAGCACGTCGGAGGGTGGGCTTCTATTAGAGGTGGGCTTCTATTAGAGGAAATACGGTATATGTAGCGACCACAGAAAAAGGGGCGGAGCTTAATTATTTTTCCCCCCAGGGTTGTTTTGGGTGTTTGACTGGCTGTAACTATGGCTAGAAAGGACGGATCGATATGAAAATTTTTCCCCTTATGTAATCGACTACGTAGAATTCGAATATGTAACTGTTTTCACTGAAAAATCTACATGATAAGAGAAAAAAGCGAAAAACAAAAGTCAGCGGCAGAAAAAAGCATGGTAAAAGAAATCGGAGTTTGTTACACTCTCCGTTTCTGCTGTTCTGAGTAACTGAAGACATTCTCTAATGGAAAATTATAACGAAATCTTGTGAGGAGCGCAGAATTGTACATTCCAGCCAAACTGGCTGTAAATATTGTGAAAAATTTTCAGCGACAACCTATAAAAATTGTTATTTTCTGATAATATCACTCTCGAACAATACATATACAAATTTTGAACAGAATAGGATAATTATAAAGGAATTCAATTCCAGTCGGAAGATGGCATACTCAACAAATTTTCCGGTGTGTTGCAAATTTAGAATTAATAGTGATTTGTTACATCTCCGATATTTATATATTCAGATTCTACAAAAAATTTCACATAAAATGATATATGTGACATATTCCAGCGAGTAGCGCAGGAAAATGCGAAGCAGTTTTGTCATGAAATTTCCCGAAATTCGTCGAAAAAATAATTTTTGCTAAGAGCGCGCGTGTTATAAGAAAACAATGCGCAGACGGTCCTAGTGCGCGTTTGGTGTACTGGTTAAGCTACCGGTGTGTCACAGGTCCTGGGCGCGCATACGCATAATGGATAGGCGACGGAGGACGCGCCGATGAATTGGGTACAGGGAAAGGACGCCGGTATGGGGCATATACGGGGCATATGGGGCACACCGCCGCCGCAAAGCATCTCTTCGCCTGGCTTGCTGGCACTCGATGAAATGAACTAAAACGTTGGTTGGGGGTTCCTAGAAGTATCAGTTAAGTTCTATTGTGATGTGATTTTGTTCAGGTCTTCCGATTTCGTACATTTCCTTTATTATTCCATATTCTTTTATATTTTGAACGACATATTACTGATTTTTCGGAAGTCAATGTTTTGGTTTTGAAAAAGACTTAGGGCAGTTTCCATTTAAATTTGATATGCAATCAAAAACAGAACAAAATGGGAAAAATTTCGCTAAAAATTGTTTTTTTTTCATTTGTTCAAAAAATATGTCTCACTTTCACTTTTTTTTGAAATTGCATGAAAAATTGAAAATTTTTATAATTTACACTTTGTAATTATTGTATACTTACCAACTTACCTTTTATTCTACCTGAAAATACGATTTTTACAATAATTACAAAGTGAATTAAAAAAATCTCAATATCACCTATTTTGGCGAAAAACATAGCAATTAACGAGTGAAAGACATGTTTCTGCAAGAATTCAGCGATTTTTCAATCTGCCATAACTCTTTCACAAAAAAACATCGAAGGAATAATCGAAAAACCAGAAATGTAGGCTCGAATTGACGAAAAATTGACAGTTGCCGGTGTGGATTTACGGTAAACAATGCGCGCATCCGGGATTTCGGAGTGTTGTTGTCGGCCTACCGTATCAGACCCATATCGCACACATCGCCCACCCACCTAGAATCCATCTAGGATACGCGCGCATTCGGAACACTCGATTCAGCCTCTCCCGCATCGCACACATATGAGACTCATCGCAGCTCATTGTTCGCGATATGTGTCAAACGGACTTCTAGAGGATCGCATATGGATCGGGTCTTTTATGCGCATCATCGCCCAGGACCTGTGTGCTAATCCGAGACATGCGGGTTCGAGTCCGTTTTTGGAAAAACATTTTTGGAAGCTTTTTTATAATTGTATAAGGTATTCTGAACGATAGCGGAACTTTTACAATGCATTGATGACGATTTCTTCATAAGAATTTCATTTTCTAGCCTTTTTCTCTATTCCAGCCCTCTGAAACCTACATTTCAGCTTTAAATGGCTTGACAAGACAGTGTGATTTTTCCGCGCGGCAGCCTTGCGCCGACTTCGCCCCGCCCACTTTTCCGTGCCCACTGCAATCCGGGGGGCGAAAATGGACGAAAAAGAGGAGCACAAAATGAGTAATTTGGAAATATGCTAACTAGGAAGAGAGGATTATTATGATATCAAAAAATTCTAGGAAAAAACTGTTTGAAAAAAATGTTGTGGTCCCTAGGTATATGAATATACTTTCTAGATGACCGTACCAATCATGGATTTGAAATCCGAAAGAAACCAAATCGCAAGAAACCAAAGCAAAAGAAACGAATCGGAAAGAACGGAAACCTTGCACACGATCATCCAAAGAAACGGCTGCAGGAAGCGCGTCCCAGCAAACCTCGACAAATTCTAAATTCGCTGATTTCAAACGTTTTTTTAGGCGCCCGCCACACACAGAAAACGAGTGATACAGTAATCCTTCTTTGCGAAACCATCGAAATTATTTGAGAACTTTTCCTTTAAAAATACCGTAACCGAATGTAATAAATACACTTACAAGAGAACCATGTTTAGCCTTCATCTCAGAATTTTTTCTGAATTTGCTCATTTATAGATTCAAATACGGGCTTTCTTGTGGTGTATTTAGGTTTTCTGCACAATTTTCTAGAAATCGAGTTATGGGCTGTTTAAGTGATTTCAGTACTAATTTCTCATTATTGGAGTGAGTTTTTGAAAGGTTTAATGAGCGTTTTTCGGCACTTTTTGAGTGTGAATCGTAATTTTAAAAGTTTCTTTCTACAATCTGACAAAGTTTCCTTATTTTTCAAAAAAAAATTTTTTTTGAAAAAATTTTGCCATGGGTAACCGAAAATTTCAATTTTTCAAAAAAGTTTTAAATGTGCTAAAATGAATTCTAAACGCATAAAAATAACAAAATCAGTCTTTTCGCAAGATTCTGTAAACTATATCCGTTTTGAAATCCCAGATAAGTGATTTCTTCCGAAACTGCCATGAATCATAGTCCTTCGAAATTCACCCAATAGCATTCAAATCTTGTGAAAACATAGATTTACATACCTCTTGACAGATTTATCACAGTTCCGCAACCAATATGATCAATACGGAAGATTTCAACTGACATTTTGAGTAGATAAGGCTTTTCAGTAGTGCTTCAAGAATTTTTCAGAAATTATCATTTTTTCAGAAATTAGCTTTTTTCCAACTCAAATAATAGAGCAAACATAATTTTGATTTTCGAAAAATGCAAAACATTCCTCCAACATTAAAGAAAAAAAAAGAAAAAAGAAAATGGACAAAGACGGAGTCGAACTCCAAACTTGTGATTACTATTCATCCACACTATCCACTCGGCCACTGTTGCTCTTTTCTTCCACAATGGAAAATGTATAGAAGAAAGGGGGGAAAGTGGAAGGGAAGGAGGAGACCAAAAAAACAGCATATTTTCAGATGGACTTTTCTCGACTTTTAGAAATTTGTGCAGAAAACCAAATACACCACGAGAAAGCCCGTATTCGAAACTATAAATGAGCAAATTTAGAAAAAATTCTGAGATGAAGACTAAACATGGTTCACTTGTTAGAAAATTCGAGAGCACACCAACTGGGAGGAAAACAAAAAGTGGGAAAGAAAAAAACCATGCGGCAAAACCGTGCCAGGGTTGCAAATTAGGCTCCGCCCATTTTTCCTCCAAGATGGTTTTTCCCACTTTTTCTTTTCCTCCCAGTTGGTGTGCCCTCGAAAATTTGACTAAAATTCCAGCCAAATTTTCAAAGTGGATGCTTTGACCTCCAAATTCTGTGAATATGTAATATATTCCTTATAATTTTTCCCTATTTCCTCCATAACTTTAGCCAGATTGGTTCATTCTCCGAGTTTTCGCGGTTTTTTTTTGCGCTTCTCTGCATTTTTCTACATTTTGGTAAACAACCCCAGAATTGAAAAAATTTGAATCAAGGTCGAATCGTTAAGAAGAAAATCGCACATCACATTTCCGTTGATGTCGGGGGTATCTTGTATCGGTCATTGAATCGAACGCTGTGATAAAACTGAAAGATGCGCTTTTGGAATAAATATCACTAGACATATAGAGAAATTAAAGCTTTATTTCCGAGAATACAGAGTATTTAAAAATTAATGCAGATTATACGACAAAGAAGATGTTTCAAATTTTGTACTATTAGATGAAGGTGCTGTTTTGCGCCAGATATGGCAAATTCTCTTATACAACCATCTCTTATACTACCTTTCTCTTATACTACCGAGTCTCTTTTACTACCACTGTCTCTTATACTACTTTTTTCAATGTGTCTCTCATAGTACCAAGTCTCTTTTACTACCAAGGTCTCTTATACTACTTTTTACCACAGAGTCTCCCATACTACCAAAAGAAACAAGACTTTCGGCCTAAGCCTATAGTTGGCAAAACATTTGGGGGGTACAAGGCAGTACAACTGATTTAGGGGTACAAAATTCGTAGGTACAAAAATTCGGGGGTGAAAACTACCAATGATTCTGGGGTACAACCAATTTCATACAGGGGTACAACGCTTGTGATTCGGGGGTACAGTTTTTTGAAGGAGTTTCTGAATTCCTGCGTTTCAGAGCTTGAAAATCTCAGAATTCTTAGAATTTCAGAACTTTGGAATTCCAGTATTTCGGAATCTGAGAATTTCGGAACTTCAGAAACTGAGAATCTGAGAACTTCCGAATTTCAGAATCTCAGAATTTCAGAACTTCAAAATCTCAGAATTCCAGGACCTCAAAACCTCAGAATTTCAGAGCTCCAGAATCTCAATATTTCTGAATTTTCAAAAATTACTGCAGAACATTTTCACTTCTCATTGTCTTTTGATTGTTCTTTTTAATTTTAATGTTTAATTTAGGTTTTAAAACCCAGTCCATACTTCCCTCACTACCAATTTTTCTTAATTGTTTTTTCTCAATTCTATTTCATTTCCTTTTGTTTTCAGTATTTCTTCGTTTCTGCCCAATTTTCCGGTTTTTTCCCAATTTTTCAATTTTTCTCAAGTTTCGTGGTAATAGAAATGTTCTCATTTTTTCATAATTTTCTAGATTATTGAACGAAGGAAACAATCACAATTCAGTGATTTTTCCACAAAAATTCAAAAATCCCAAAACTTGGCCCAAAATGAGCTATTTTCTTTCGAAAATTGTTCGAACAGGGCAATAAAACACTATAAAAATTATGAAAGTAATTTTTTTCGATTAATTACCACGAAAATTTGAGCGAAAACGATGAAAAACGACGGAAAATAATTTTTGCAGTGTTTTATTGCCCTGTTCAAACAATTTTCGAAAGAAAATAGCTCAGTTTGGGCAAATTTTTGGGATTTTTGAATTTTTGTGGGAAAATCACTGAATTGTGATTGTTTCCTTCATTCAGTAATCTAGAAAATTATGAAAAAATGAGAACATTTCAATTACCACGAAACTTGAGGGAAATTGGGAAAAATTGGGAAAAATTGGGCGAAAACGAAGGAATATTGAAAACAAAAGGAAATGAAATAGGATTGAGAAAAAACAATTAAGAAAAATTAGTAGTGAGGGGAGTATGGACAGGGTTTTAAAACCTAAATTAAACATCAAAATCAAAAACAACAATCAAAAGACAATGAGAAGTGAAAATTTTCTGCCGTAATTTTTGAAAATTCAGAAATATTGAGATTCTGAAGTTCTGAAATTCTGAGGTTTTGAGGTCCTGAAATTCTGAGATTCTGAAATTCGGAAGTTTTCAGATTTTCAGTTTCTGAAGTTCCGAAATTCTCAGATTCCGAAATACTGAAATTCCAATTTCTGAAATTCTAAGAATTCTAAGATTTTCAAGCTCTGAAATGCAGGAATCCAGAAACTCCTTTGAAAAACTGTACCCCCGAATCACAAGCGTTGTACCCCTGTATGAAATGGGTTGTACCCCAGAATCATTGGTAGTCTTCACCCCCGAATTTTTGTACCTACGAATTTTGTACCCCTAAATCAGTTGTACTGCCTTGTACCCCCCAAATGTTTTGCCAACTATAGGCTTAGGCCGAAAGTCTTGTTTCTTTTGGTAGTATGGGAGACTCTGTGGTAAAAAGTAGTATAAGAGACCTAGGTAGTAAAAGAGACTTGGTAGTATGAGAGACACATTGAAAAAAGTAGTATAAGAGACAGTGGTAGTAAAAGAGACTCGGTAGTATAAGAGAAAGGTAGTATAAGAGATGGTTGTATAAGAGAATTTGCCTTTACATGATAAAACAGAAGATAACTGGAGAATTCTAAGCATTGATGCTGTTTGCACTTGCAACGTCTCCTTCAAGATTCCATCCGAGGCCAAGATCGCGGGATTCGTCTAACTTGGTGTTGTCTACATCATCCATTTTCTGAAATAAAAAATCTTGCTTTTGTTTTTGAGGTAGCAGGCTCACTTCGATGGTCCAACTCGAGAGAACAGCCAGGATGGAAGCGCTGACAGGACAATTGAGCTCACGAAGATATCGAGCGATATTCGGCAAACGTCCTCCTTCTACATTGCTACTCATCGCCCAAAGAGTCCAGTCCCTCAGCATTACGCATTGCTCATAGCTCCAGTCTGGATTCATAATTGGACCACCGTTTAATTCAAAAAGTGCATTCTCGTAGACACGGAACCAAAGAAATGGGAACGAACGGATCAACGAATCCATCTGGTTCGAACGAACGTAGTTGAGAAGACCGCGCAGGGTAACCCATTGCTTTGTTATTTGAAGACGAGCCATCACTTGATCGATACTCTTGGGATCCTTGAATTCTTGGTCAATGATAAGACATGCAATGAGGGCAGTCATCGGCTGAGGACGCGATGGGCATTGAAGAAGAATTTTGATGAGCTGCATTTTATCCGTCTTTTCGTTACATTTCATTTCGGTTTTATCGAATAAACGCTCGCTGACTTTGTGAGTTGAGTATCCAATATTCCGCTGAAAATGTATCTGTACGGTATCTACGGCCATTCTGTACAAAAAATTCTGAAATTCCACAGGCTAACTCTAGGTGTCCTAAGGGCTCTTCGATGCAAGTCTGGGCTCATTTGGTCCTGTATTGGCAATTTTAGAATCTTTCGTTTACTGTAGCTACCGTAATCCTACAGTAATCTGACCATGTAAATATACGAAATTTAAGCGCTTGGGTGATCATGGGTAGTCCCCAAAAATGAAAACAAACGGTCAAGTAAGGAAAAAGTTATTCGAGGGACAACGCCGGACGGACGGACACACAAACAGAACTATTCCTTTGGTAAGGAGAAGATTTATGAGATTTTTGGAGAATTCAATTGACATTTTTGGGTTTTCTTACACTTTCATCGAGCCCCTCACTTCCTTATCACCATATCATATCTAGAGCATAATCGTGGATATGCTGAGGAGATACTATAAAAGGAAGCAGAATCGCCAGTATGATGAGACATCTGAATCAAAGGAACAATCCCAACGGATCTCTCCAACGATGGATTCACTGATGCAAGGATCCAATTGCTGACGCTCGCGGATGAGCCAATCTACCGATGCCACACCCCTTCTGCAACCTCCTCATCAAGCCAAGGATGGTTCACCCCTCTGCTCCTATAAACGGAAACTCCTGTCGCTGGTCATCGTCTCCTGGCAAACTCCCCAAATGCTGATGCTATGAAGAACCATAATCAGAGCCCTAACCCAATTAAATAAATAGTTGTTGAATACTTAATGTTCCTATCCTTGTACTTTCGCTCCGACACAGGCTCACCACCTAAATGTCGGAACACCGTCGGCTATGGCTGACCGAGATCCCAAGTGGATTTCAGTCAGTCAATGGTTTAGCTGGTTTGATAGTGTACTGAAGATTTGAACTCGTCTTCTGAATTCTTCTGGAATCTTTAGAATCTTACTCCCCTTTTGAAATAGGTCCTAGATTTATGAGATTTTTGGAGAAGTCAAATGACATTTTTGGGTTTTCTTACACTTTCATCGAGCCCCGTCGGCTATGGCTGACCGAGATCCCAAGTGGATTTCAGTCAGTCAATGGTTTGCCTGGTTCGATAGTGTACTGAAGATTTTGAACTCGTCTTCTGAATTCTTCTGGAATCTTTAGAATCTTCTTCCTCTTTTAAAATAGGCCTTGTTTCCTTTATTTAGAAAGAAAGATTTGTTCCCCGATTCAATATTATCGGATAGTGATTTCACGGTAAATGTTGTCATTCAACGCCCTCGTCGATCTTGGGGAAAAGAACTTGGGAGACAACGAGGTGTGAAAATTTTCTCAGACGGACATAAGACTGAAAGAAATATTTCTGAAAAATCACTAGACTTGTAGAGAGAAATTAAAGCTTTATTTTCGAGATTACAGAGTAATAAAAATTTAATACAGAAGATACTACCGACAAAGAAGATTTTTCAGGTATTGTACTATTTGGTGAAGGTGCTGTTTTGCTCCTGAAATTAACTCAAAAGAAAGTGTATCACATTTATCGTCTGGATCGACTTGAATCCTCAATTTAACAATAGGTCGTGGAGTAACACCAGATGGTAGAGGGAAATATGCCTGTGAAGAGGTTTCAACCGCCGCTGGGTCACTAGTTTTGAACGATTCTGAGTATACGAAGTTGCCAGAATTGGTGTATGAATCCTTTCCGTCTCCATTACCCATCATTGCTTCACATGCGACACTTGATGTATTCCATCTCGCTCGCTTAGCGGAATTTTCAAATAACAATGCGTTCGCTTTCCTCCTTGCTCTTTGGTTTGTCCATGTCACACTCTTGAATTCAGCAACTAATACAGAAGGTTGTTCTTGACTCCAGCGGCCCCCTAATCGGGATATTTCTTGCATAAGTTTGACCAGACCAGGTTTCGGGCATTGAAACGAAATGGAGCTGTTCTGAAACTCAATAAAAATAGATAATAATTATCAGCAAGTGATACTAATTTACTTTCAATGCTGTATTCAAAGTCATTTCTTTTGCAAACGTCCAAGCTAGCATCCACCGTTTCGTCTTTCCTTGATTCAGTGGATGAACCAGAAACTTAACGTTCTCCCCGAATCTCTCAAGTCTTTGCAGTAATGGCTTCAAACTCGATTTCCGGCCTATCATTGTTGTGTAGAATCTGAAAAATATATAATTAAAAACGCAACATCTAGCCAACGATCTTCTAACTTGATTCTGTCTCGCAAGCAAACACTGTCATCAATGATTCGATTCACAAAAGCCACTTCACCTCCTTCTACATATAACTCAGCCGACGAGGCGATCGTTTCGGAGTGTGGCGCAGATCTCATGTCAAAATCAAAGTTATTCGAGTAAGTCTCATTTGACAGCGATGGTTCTTCGCAAAACCTTTCCTCTTTGTCTGACTTTTCGAAGAATGGTGGATTACACATACAGAAACTGAATTCACTGTCCGGCATCGAGTTGATCACATCCTCAAATAATACGGTATTTCGTTTATTTTATTTTTGAACCCTTACCATTAAAACGGTTTTAACGGCTGGATTCACATGAACTACACAAATCGAGTCGCCCATTTCGTTTCTTGCAACATTCTCATGAGCGACTTGAACCGAATTTTCATCTCCATCTGTTGCCACAAACTTCCAACCAAAATGACGAGCACCAATTAATGCATGAATACAGGATGTGCCTGTGCCAATGTCGATTCCAACTACATTGCTTGTTATTGAATTCGCTTGAAGAATGTCGTCGATCAACAGACAGTAATTCAATTTCTGAGGAACTCGTGGAACTAGATGTCCTGCCGGTAAATTAACCTAAAAATCGTTCTGATGCTTGAAAAACCGAAAACACCTACATTCAGACTGAAATCTTTTTTCAGCAGAGTTTGTGTGAGACATCGGACAGCAGCATCTTTTCGGAAATCTAATGTAACTTTTCCATTACTCACATATTGGCAAAATTTTCGAAACTCTGGATACTCTATGGCTAGTGCTTTGAAATCAGGGGGTTTGTCCCTATAAGGATTTCTTGGGTGCATTTCATTGCCTTGTGCCATTCTGAAATCAGCTTACGTTCATTAATTGATATCGATTGAAGTTGTCGAGAACATTATATAGATTAATGTACATTAAATAAAAAGTTTTTACCTTAATGTAAATTGAGGGATAACCCATTTTATGTCAACGAAAAAGAGGCGTTCGTAAAAATTAGAAAAAAAACCCGTAAATCCTACCGTGCAAACACCGCAGCAGTTGACTACGGACGATGCTCGATATGATACGCACAGCTGGATCACAGCTGGATCTTCGATTACTCGTTTGTTTTTTTGAATCATGAAAAAAATCTTTTTAAATCATTTTTTTCTCATACATGAATTCTTTGTGTCATGAATAACCACATTTGTGTTGTTGCAATTAAAGTTTCCATTCAGGTATGGCATTACGATATCGTAACCTGTTTCTGAGTTCGCTCCGCCGGTTCTCAAAACAAATCATCACTCCTCCTGGATATGCGTCACCTCAAAGTGTCAACCATCTCAAGAAATTCCTAATCGATAAAATTCGGACTTCTGGACCAATTACAGTAGCCGAATACATGAAAACATCTGTCTCTGCACCAGTCGTTGGCTACTACGGCCAATTCTCGAGGGATCAAAAGGTGTTCGGAGAGAAAGGAGATTTCATCACTTCCCCAGAGCTTACTCAACTCTTCGGTGAAATGATTGGAGTATGGTACGGCAAGGAATAGGCTATCAAAAAAGTCTTGATTCAGGGTGTTCCATGAGTTGGCTAATACAGGACACAAGGGCTCATGGCAACTAGTAGAGCTAGGACCGGGAAGAGCTCAGCTGATGAATGATGTCTTGAATGCGTTGGCGAAGTTCAATGACAACGATGTTTCTGTTCACCTTGTTGAAATGTCGGATGCTTTGATAGACGAACAAGAAAATTTTTTGTGCATTTACAACTCGGAAAACACGAAGGGTAATAGTGTTCGAGCTGTGTTTTTTTTTAAATAAGACACGATTTTCAGGCACACCTCATGTTCGGAAAAACAAAACTCGAACTGGTGTAAACATTTATTGGTATAAGTCTATCGATGATATTCCCGATGGATTCACCGTTTTCATTGCCAACGAATTTTTAGATGCCCTCCCGGTTCATCAATTTAAAAAAACCGGAGATCTGTGGAAAGAAGTTTATGTTAACCTGACTAAAGAAGGAGACTTACGCTTTATGACATCGAAAGGAGAAAATTTGCACACCAAGTGAGAAAAAAAAGAATTTTCTGGTATAAGTTCAATGAGTTCTTATAGAGGTCTCATTCCTGCAGCTATCCGCAACGAAAATTCACGTCTTACATGGGAATGCTCACCGGAATCAGGAACTGTTGTAAATCAAATAGTTGACAGAATAACAACATTCGGTGGTTTTTCACTTTTGGTGGATTATGGACATGATGGATCCCGGAATACTCATTCATTCCGCGCATACAAAAACCACGAACAAGTAGACCCTCTGTCGAATCCGGGAGTTGTCGATTTGACTGCGGACGTCGATTTCGGATATTTGACAACACTTGTTGAGGATAGGGCTCTCGTCTATGGACCCATTGAACAAAGGTCAGTGCAATTGTGATCTGGAACGATACCATATGGTTAAGAAAACTTGTAAATGATTATCTTCAGAGTATTTCTCACACAACTCGGCATCGAACATAGACTGCGACGCCTCTTGCAAATCTGCAAAAATAGAGAAGAACAAGAACAGTTAATCAGTGAGCACATTTTCCAGATCCTCTTAAACCCCTTTATTCTAGAATCATACAATATGCTGATTGGAGATATGGGAACAAAGTTTAAAGCATGGGCTTTGTTTCCAAAAACACTGAAGTTCATCCTGGACCAGAGAGGTGGCCCAGTTGGTTTTTTATCGAAAGAAAAAGCAGAGAAGAAAGCAAACGATGAGTGAACTTCTTGGTTTTTAGCAGATAGGTAGATTTTTTACTGTTCGTTGTTTTTTTTTTTGGTTTTTTTCTCAAATAAAGTGTTTGTCGAGCTATTGAAGATATTTATGATCTTATGAAAGTGGTTTTAGACCTGATACTCTTTGTTATTTTTATTTTGTTCGCAATTCTTATCCTTCAAACTTTCTATAATTCTTTCTCAGCAGGCAGCAGCTGTTCATCTCTACATTCCATAAAAAGTCGAGTCAGATTATAAAAATGGTAATTTCCAATTCTCACAGATCATTCACATATATCACTAGAAAAATATTCAGCTGGTACTTCTCATCGGGGACTTCAATATGCCTCACCGATCGGCGAATATTTCACCAAAGTTTCGCAAACTTCTAGTCCCCAACAAAATGCAGCATGTGTTGAGCACTGGTAATTTGTGCTCGCGAGAAACGTTTGACTACCTCAGGTTCGAAAGAAAACGCGAGGAACAAATATATATTCCGGTTTTAGAACTCTGTCATCCGATGTTCATGTGGTCAAGGGAGAATTCGATGATGAGATGCTCAAATATCCAGATACAAAGGTGGTTACGGTTGGCCAGTTTCGCATTGGAGTCTGTCACGGACATCAAATAATCCCATGGGGAGATTCCCGGGTATGTTTGTTTGAAAAAACATTTTTGTTGCCTTCCTTCCGCAATAACAGTGGTTTTAAACGTTAGATTTCAGATGCTGGAATTGCTTGCAAGACAACTCGACGTTGATATTCTTGTCACTGGAAACAGCTACGAATGCAATGCCGTTGAGAAGAGTGGACGATTCTTCGTGGATCCAGGAAGCGCCACAGGATCGTTCAGTGTCAACAAAACTGGACCAGTGACACCTTCATTTGCTCTTCTGGATGTGCAGGCGGACAATGTTGTCACCTACTTGTACCGTCTGATTGACGATGCTGTCAAAGTGGATCGCATCATTTATAAAAAATCAAAGTCGACATAATATTGTCTGTCCCAGTTCTCTCATAACTAAGACCCATTAAGTCAATTCCACTCAACCCGTTTGATATATATTTTTATTCATGTAAAATGTACAGTAAAATTAAAAATTTTGTTCTTCAAATTCTTCAAATATGCACAAAGTACACTTCACTCTGAAAACTGTTCTTGAAATTTGAATATTTTATGAGTGAGGTTAATCGATGTAAAAAGATAAACAAGGCAAGTAGAAATTCGTTTCCAGGAGCGTATATACAAAGTTCACATTTATCCAAAATTATAGAACACCTGTTTGATTGTGCAGAGGACTGTATGTTCCGCTTATTCCACTTCCAGTAACAAGTGATTGCAGTGAGGAACTCTTCTGAAATACATCACATTATGTTCTTCTCTATTTCGACAAGTTATAATCGTATTACTGAAATTCTGCATTCACAATATGAACCGGCTGTTAACGTCACTTGTGTCATGACACCGTTGTCATTCCTCGTTGCTTCAAAAGTTCGATGGCCAATGGCACATGTTGCATAACCTGAATAATGAGAGAATTAAAAAATTACAGAGTTAATTAACTAGTTAAATATACTAACCACTCAAGCATTCTCCATCAGAATTATCACAAACCAATTCATTGATATATTGTGGACGGTAGTTATCTGGCAGACGTCTCCACACCCAGCAAGAAGAACAAAGAGAAACAGTTCCAGTTGGATCAACAGAAACTCCTTTTGTTGCACAAGAAATGGTGAATCGGGTTCCTGGAACAAATATTCGTTTTAGGTCATGACCTAAACAAAAAATCTAGGTCATGACTTCAAAAAATCTAGGTCATGACCTAAAAAATCTAGGTCATGACTTAAAAAAATCGAGGTCATGATCTAAAAAATCTAGGTCATGACTTCAAAAAATCGAGGTCATGATCTAAAAAATCTAGGTCATGACTTCAAAAAATCTAGGTCACGACCTAAAAAATCTAGGTCATGACCTAAACAAAAAATCTAGGTCATGACTTCAAAAAATCTAGGTCATGACCTAAAAAATCTAGGTCATGACTTTAAAAAATCGAGGTCATGATCTAAAAAATCTAGGTCATGACTTAAAAAATATAGGTCATGACCTAAAAATATAGGTCACGACCAAAAAATCTAGGTCATGACCTAAAAAATCTAGGTCATGACCTAAACAAAAAATCTAGGTCACGACTTCAAAAAATCTAGGTAATAACCTAAAAAATCTAGGTCATGACTTTAAAAAATCGAGGTCATGATCTAAAAAATCTAGATCATGACTTAAAAAATATAGGTCATGACCTAAAAATATAGGTCACGACCAAAAAATCTAGGTCATGACCTAAAAATCTAGGTCACGACCTAAAAAATCTATGTCATGACCAAGGAAGATTTTAAACGTCAATTTCAAACCTATCAAGTTAGCATCCGAAGAGTTTGTTAGCTGGGTTGACACAGCTTGTCTTTTGTCTCTTTTGTGCTTCTTATCCTTCTTCTGTTTCTTCTCTTTCTTCTTCTCATCGTCATCTTCGTCGCTGTCCGAATCATCGTCATCATCGTCGTCGTCTTTTTTATCCTTTTCTTCAAAAAAAAAGTTAATCGCAAATCGAGAAAACTGAAGCTTACGTTTCTGTTTTTCGATGGAGAATCTGTATTTGGTGCATGTGGAGTTGGTGTTCATTTGGGTGGATATTATATCGTTTATATCTTTAGCCAATAGTCCCACCTGAATAAAATTAATCGAAATTCTTGTTACAGTCCGCTACTGTATTGGATAAAAGTCCATTTCGAAGAAGGAAAATATCATATATCCTCTGATAGAAGTCTACCCAACCCGTCCAGCTTGAGCTCAATTATCTCAATTCCTGTGAAAGATATCAAAATATTGTCAACTGATAAAGTATTGATGATATTATGATAAACATTTTATCAGTTGACAACGTTCTGATATCTTTCCCAGGAATCGAGATCATTGAGCTCTAAGTTGACAGGTTGGGTGGGCTTCTATCAGAGGAAATATGGTACTTTTTAGCTTTACAAAAGTGGTTAGAATTTTTTTGAAATCGACTGAAGTTTTCAAAAAGTATTGAAGAAAAATCTGTCTTTTCAGTAGTTGATAACATTTTTGTGCAGGACTATGCAAATGAGATTCGAAAGTTGGAGCTAAAAATTTGCCGAAGTAGCTAAAACTAGCGGAATATCTCGTTTCGAAACTGACAAATGTTACTTTAGAAATTGTCAAGTATGTATAGGTTATAACTTTAGTTTTTCTTGATCCATTTTGAAAATTTCGAAGCTATTCCAATTTTTCTAATACCTTTTGTAAATCTTAAACTTACATAAACTTGTTAGCTGATTCTATTTTTCCAGATACTGTAAACATGCTTACTACATTTAACACAACAATAACGTCATTTGAACGATGAGGCTATTTTTATAGTTCCCTTCACTTTTGAAAACCACTAAACCGATGTTGAAAGGAAACAATTTCCTAATCCTTCAGTAAATAAATGATGACTAATGGTTTAGAGAATCAAAAAAGTTCAACTTACTTTTTGAAGTTGCTTTCTCATATCCTTCCGACAATCCTGACATTCTTGAGTCACGCATCCAACGTCCGATGCCTGAAAAACGTCAAATACTTATACTTCAACACATCATTTGAATTCAACTACCGTTGCATCCACGTTACCATCATTCATTGATAAATCAGGAAATGAAGCAATTGCTTCGTCAATTGTGTCTGCTTGTAACTTACTGTCATATCCAAGACAGTTGAGAGCTGAAGGATCTGGTTGGATGCATTGACACTAAAAAATGAGTTTTCAGGAAAATAAGATGCCGGAAGTGTTCTGAACATACCGTCTGACTTCCTACATAACCAATAAATACGGCATAAAAAAGAAAAATAGAACACCAAACGGCCTTCATTCTCTATTTTAATCGAATGAAGTTTTTTATGATAGATCGAAACGAGAGAAGAGTAGAGCTAGTTTAAATACAACCTCTCTGCGTCTCTGAAAAGGGTTAACCTACAGATGTTTAACTGTTTGCAAAGTGTGTGTTAGAGGGAGTCTGTCATTTTATTGAACAATGATTGATCTCTTTTTCGGAAAAAATGGGAAAAAACAGAGAATCACATGAAACATGGTTACACCGGGGATTTACATAATTCAGAAGTCGTAAAATACAGTGATGGACTTCGAGGTCAAAGCTCTCAAAAACTTGATTTATTCATAAACAGTCTGTTAGGAGTCGGAAACATCAAACATCCGGACCAATAGGTAATGAGGATGTGTCATCATAGATTAACAGATTTAGGGTTCAACAATTTTATGAAACATGATCCTTGAAAACAAAACTTTTTTATGGGAGTGGAATATGAGCAAAAATGAAGTTTGAGCATCATTAATTCTGCGAACATAATCGGCTAAATTATCTAGCGTAAACACTAATAGAAGTCGACCCTATAATTGCACTTCTAGCTCAATTATCGTAATTTCTATGAGAGACATCGAAAATCTGTTAGCTAATAAAATATTCTTCATAATATCGCCAACATTTCATTAGGTGGCACATTTTTGATATATCTCATAGGAACCGAGATACTTGAGCTCAAAATGCAAATGTATAGAGAGGCCTTCTATTAGAGTGTTTACGGTAACAAGGTGTGAATAATTGTTCTAGAATAGGCTAAATTGTCTTCTAACATACGAAATACCCAGATTTGGCTTCTCGACATACTAAATTTTATATTCGAACATGAAAATGATTATTGTAAGGAAAAATACTCGAAATTGAAAAAGATTACTGTAGGGAAAACATTCGAAATTGCAGACAGAGCCGCTCAGTTCATTAAAGATCATTTGACGATAGTTCAGTATGATCAATGTCGAATACTTCATAAACCCTTTACCTCCTTGAATCCATCTTTCCCTTCCTGTAGACATCGAGTTCCTAGGCATCATTCGTTTTGCTTCCAACACATCAACTCCAATCAGGATCGAGTTTAGTATTGACTTGATATCGTCAATCCCACCGGACACTGACTTATAAATCTTTTCCATTTTCTAAAAAATTCTTTCCATCTTTCGTTCTTTTGATTCTAATAAGATGATGCTTGTTTTCGTTTTGAGGCACGCTGACGCCTCTAATTGTGTAGTGTTTGATCACACCTATTTAACTGGTACCCACATAGAAATATTTAGAACTTTTTGTCTGTCCAGCTCTCAAAACTGGTTAATTACTCGGAAAATGTTGGCAAATTTTGTCCCCACTCTAGGAAACTTCAACAATTTCTTAATTAAGATATAAGTCAAACCAAATAGGTCAGCCAAATTCACTCAACCTTTGCCGAAAAGTTGCCAACATTTACCGAGGAACCAGGTAATTTCCGGAATCAAAAAAAAATGAAATTACTAAAATTATAAGACTTGAATCTACTCCACTTTTGGCTTAATCAATCCCGTCTTTGTAATGTACATTAAAGATTTTTCCTCACTGCTGAGATCTGTCTCATGACTTGTTATTGTCTGGGAATAAAATTACTGGTAGACACGTTTATAGTTTTTGTGCTCATCTACTCATTTCTTGGAACTGTTTTTCAAAACAATCATCAGTTTCAATCACATGTTTTCATTAATTTGAGGAACTTTGGGAGGAGCCAGACGGGTGGGAACCAGACAAAGCAGTTCCAAACATGTCTTTATTTGTTTAGAATTTCTAGATTTCTGGTCTAAAATTATGTATAATAACCATGTATTTAAAATAAATATAGTTTTCATTAACAAATCTAAAATCTGTGCCTACTTCTTTAAAAGTTGTCTTTTAAAAATCCTTGCATATCCTGTCGACAAAGGTGAATCACTTGTTCTTTGATAAATAGCTTTGTGATTTGTGAAGAAACTCCAGTTTGAATTCACCGATTATGATTTATGACGATATCATTGAAAAGCGGACCCCGAGAAGAGCAGCACCTCCAAAGTTCCCAAATTTAGGGTATCTGGGCCCATGACGCAGTTCAAAGTGACTCTCAGATCCCTAGAATTAAGCAACGCATTTTTAGAATTTTTACTTTTAGAATTTTGAACTTTCTTTTTTATCCCTAGAACCTCGAATCGGGATCTGGAATAGAGGAAGGGATTTTAGGAGAAGACTGAATTTTGACTTCTCGACCGTTTTTAGCACTTTTTCTACTCGGAATTGGAGTTTCCTACCTGTTTTCACCCCAAGAACCAAAAAAAGTTGATTCCTCTTAAAATTTCGAATTTTGGAATCTAGAGAAAGAGCTCTTCTCTAATTTGTTTTTTTTTTCTGAAAAAAATTGGATTTTTAAATTTTTTTTCCATATTTTCGATTGGACATTCAGTTGTCTGGCATCATTTTAAACTTCCCATTTATAAACAATCTTTCTTTGTTAGATTAGAGCTCGTCGGGAACGTTGTCGAAGCTTGTTTTACTCAGCTTACGATACTAAGAATCTTTGAGCATATGCAATTCGAAATTTCTAGAATCCTAATTACCAGAACCCTAATAACGCGCCAATGATCAGAACAGTATCATTGACAAGTACCTTGGGATTGTATTATACCCAGAATTGACGGCTTCATTGTTTTTATTTCTCTCCATGTTCTCGAGGTTCCTGGTCTTATACTGAGAGCATCGTAGCTCTCGAATTCTCTTTACATTCCAGTATTCTTTATTTTCCTGAAATGATTCAATGTGCTCCTGAAGTGATATTTTGAGTCATTACTAACGAACTGATTGTCAAATCATTTTCAGTCTTTTTGAGTTTTAGAAAGCTGCAGACAGATGTGATCAAATGATCTCCTAACAAGTATCAAAACTGACTAGAAAGTGTATGTTTTACTAGGTAGTTCTGTCGACAGGCATAAGAGGCCGTGAATACTATTCACCTCTAGAGAATGGTCATTTGACAGGCTAGACTTTGAAAGCAACCACATCACTTCTTTTCGTTAATTTTTTAAAATTAATGATCCAAGCACCCCGCATTTTAAAGATCTCAATTTTATAAACTATAGTGTATGTATTTCACATCTTCATTACTTCACTACTCTTCTTGTTCTTCTCAAGTTTATTATGCTAGTACAAAAAAATTGGCCGAAGGTCCCACAACAACAACTAATGTAACCTGAAAATACTCGTATTTTCCTGAATTACTTTGGATTTGTTCCTGTTTTTCGTCCAGATTTCCGTTATTTTTCTCCAAAAAAGTCGGAAAAACTAATTCCTTGTTAGTGAAAAATTGACTGAAAACGTACGGAAAGCGAGAAAATAAATCCGAAAAAGTATATTTTTAAGTTACGGTAGTTGTCGTTGCCGGACCTTCTGCCACGGTCACTGCCGTTTCTTCTCCGTAGTTTCGATTTTTGTACCAGAAGATTGAATTGTTGGTTCGTTTCAAGTTCAGATATAAAACTGATAGATTTCAGAAAAGGCAAGTGTCAAAATGAAATTCTGGATTCTAATTTTGTGTTTTCTGTTCATCCCACCTGTCTCTACAACTTGCTACAACTTAGGATCCCTTCAATGTTGGCCGGAAGAAATTCAAGAGATGATCTTAATGATTTCCGGGGAAGACACGTACAGGTTTGAGAATCTCTCCAAAGATATTCGGAATGGCATTTGAGGAATTTCTCGGAATTTATAAGATTCCGAGATTTAAATTTTCGGATTTTCTGAATTGTGGAATATTCTAATTTTGAAAAGCTCGGGGTTTAATTTTGAAAATTCCTATTAAAAAAATTTTGGAATTTCAGAAATTCGGAATCTCACCTTCTCCTCACAAAAGCGAGAGAAAAAAGTACAACTAGATATCGAAAACGCAAAAAAAAAAACAGTAAAAGTAATTCCGCTCAAGATCTGAAAAGGAAACATTTCTGTGCATTTTCAATTTTGTAGTCAAAAAAGCTCTGATTTCGAAAAAAAGCTTTGGAAGTATTCCGGTCGGAATTTCATCCCAAAAATGTTCCGAAAAAAGTTCGATCGAAATTTTTGTTCCGAAGATCCCTGAACTACCCGGAAGCTTTCCTCATTCTGAACATTTAGATACAACTGTTCCGGAAAAACCGACGAAGAATGGTATAAAACAGGAGTGAAACGAGTGGGTTGGGGGATCTACTACGTCACTGCTGGGATCTTTTTTCAACTCATCGGATGGCCTGTCCTTTACATTTTCCTAACAAAATTCAGTATGACACATGCACTAAAAGTGTATCGGGTCATGGTTTTCATTGGATTGATTGAGATTACTGAAGTGTGGGGAAACTCCATCTGGCCTGGAATTGTTGCTATATTTGGAGAAGTGTATTGCACTAGTCCACGAATTACGACAATTGCTGGGAAAATTACAATGGGTGAGTTCTGTGGTGTATGAATCTAATCATTTTTTAACCTTTCAGTTCAATGGGTGCTAGGCTCCTCGTCTGCAGTTTTTCTTGGCCTACACCGAATAACTGACTTGTCGCAGAAAGGAGAATGGCTTGTAAATGTGAGTCACTGGTGAGAAAATTTGTAAAGTAGATGACATTTCAGACTAATCTGAAAACCAGTTTTTGGTTAGCCCTTCTCAGCGTCTACTCAATCTACGGCTCCATTTTTTATGATACCATTTTGTTCAACTCCCAGTACATGGCCCCAATTTTCAATCCGATGACTGGACAGGAAGGAATTGTTTATTCCAATAATTTTCTTTATTTTCATAACATCATCGTATCGGTCCTTCTTATCAGTGTCTACACCTTGCTCTGCTACCTCTGGATGTCTCGTGATATGCACGCTTCCTCACATCACGTATCTAAGTTTCAGAGAAGTGTAAGAGCTATTTCAGTTATAAATCAACCAAGCGATTTCTGCCGCCTGTCGGCGGCTACAATCTCCTGGCTACACTTAAAACGTTCACATCTCAAAACTTGAGGAAATATAAGTAGTTTCAATTGATTTTTTCACATTTTCCAATGCGCGCCTCCGGGCTAAGATTCCTCCGCTTACAATACCCTTAACTTCAAAAAGAGATTTCAATACCTTTTCTAAGAGATTTTTTTCCGGGTCTAAAATCGGAAAATTCTAAACTTAGACAGTCAGAGTTTCGGAAATCCTCAATTAGGAAACTCGGAATTGCGGTAATTTGGGAGTTTATCCTTTCGGAAATCAAGATATTCAGAATTTTGGGAATCAGTCGCCCCTGGGGCTCAATCTTCTGGCTTCCGTATACTGTATCTTACAATTCAATTTCTAAATTTCCGAGTTTCCGAAGTCACAAAATTCCTGAATATTTGATTTTCCAATTTTTAAAGTTTCGAAACTACTGATGACTGAATTTTAGAACTTTTAGAAGAATTTTAAAAGTTTTGGGAACTTTGGAACTTCAGAAATTTAGATTCAATAATTCGAAAATAATAAATTTCGGAAACTTCGAAACTCCTTTTTTTTGGAAACCCAAAAAATTGAAAAATCAGAAATTCTGAAAATTTTGAAAATTCGAGTGATCCAGAAAGCGAGGTCTCTCTTTTTTTCATTGTCTTGTTTCCCCTGTTCCAGAATTTTTTTCTCTTTTTCAAATCTTCAAAACCCAGGCTAAAATAAAGTCCACACAAAGTCACCCTTTTCTCAGAAATAGCGTGGATAAGAAAAAAATTTAGGCGGTTAGACGGGAATGACGTAAATATTGCTTCAGAAATTTTTAAAAGATTTGCTTCTTAGAAATAAAAGAACGTCTCCAGAAGACGTCAGAAACGAAATTTCGAAAAATCAAAAGTAGTCGGGCATCATCTCACTGCTATTTTGGGCCATCTGTGAAAGTTTGGAAAATTTTGGTCCAATGAGTACTTCGCTAGAGCAGGTGACCCGGGAACACCGGACACACACACAGAATTTGGTGATTGTTAATAGTAAAGATAACTGATGGCTTCAGATTCTCTACCAATCCATCTGCATATCCTTGACATATGCGGTCCCCGCCTGTTCGTTCGCCTCAATGTTTCTGTTCACCACTCCAGCATGGTTTTTCCACGCCTCGGACATCACCTATCAGCTCAGTGGAGGTTCTCATAAATGTTGTGTTTTTTTTTCAAAAAATGTTTTAATTTAGGCCTACCATTTATAATGTACATCTCGCTCAACCAAAAAGTCCAAGACGAATTTTTGGATTTAGTCGGAATCTGCCCAGGCAAACGTCACAAAGCCGTGGCTCCAACTGGAAACTCTGCAATGAACTCTTATATCAGTGGAACAGCAAAAATTTAAGATCTTCTCTGCTAGTTTCGCTGTCTGTATATCTGTTTTTAATAAAGGGACTTATGTGTTGTTGTGAATTTTCTGTGAACCCAGATACCAAAAAATCTTTAATCTGCTAAAAAAGTCAACACCACAATTACTCCAAAACCCATTCTTCGCAGTTCTTCTGGTGATAGTCATCATAAATTTGTTATTTTCTTATTCTTATTCAGTATAGTACCACCGTCCGTAGTATGATTGCCTTCTTCGAATCTCTATTGAATCAAATGATCATGCTGCAAAACATCCTATTTTTAACTTGTTATTCATCTCAACTAATTTTCGTTTTTTGGCTCTCTGCCAATCCCTGAACACCTCATTAAGAATATTTTTCACTTTTTTCAAAAGTATTAACTAGAATTCAATTCTCAATTGGGAAAACGTTTCTCTAGGTTTCTTTTTTGGCTCTGTTTTTCCACATTTCATATTCACCATTAAACCCGTTTCATCTGTTTCGTAATTCTATTTTCATGAGCTTTCTCTGAATGCGATAAGATTCGCAAAATCTGACAGTGAGATAGCGTAAGACTTGTATTAGAAGGGCCCTTTGAAAGTGATGAGGAAAAATGGAAAGGGTCCCTCAAAATTGTGTCATTCAAATTTTTGCATTCTTCACGATTTCATAGAAAATTTGAATATCCGAAACTTTAATGAGATTCGTTAAAAAGGGGCTCAGTGATTAAAGGGTCCCTGTAATAGAAGGGCCCCTCGGAGGAATCTTGGAATCATAGAAGAACCGATCCTGCTCTTCTGATACAAGATTTGTGTTACTTGTTTTAAATGTTATCTGTTAACTTAAATGGTTATAACCCAAAGTTTAGTAATGAATGCTGCCTTTTTGATTGACCTTCTATTTTTATTTTGCAGGTTACTATAGTCTAAAAACCCAAAATGAAATGTGTGGGCTTTATCAGTTATAAGCTAAATAATAGAGATTTACGGTATATGCGCACGATAAAGGATCTGAATTCATTAAATTTTCTTGATTTCTTACATTTTAATAAAATCACTGTAAGTCTATTTAAGGACATTCGGGTAGTCTAATCAAAAAAGTTAGCCTAAATATGGCACATCTCATCAAGAAATAAGGGAACAGCTGATTTTTATAATCATGGTTGGGCTACTTTCACTAGACGATCTTCGTCCGGTAGAATTATTTTCTTGCTTTTCGTAACGTTGTGGCTAGTTTTGACTTAGCTGGGGAGAGTCTGGCAAGGATTGAGCAGACGCTTTGTACAGATATCAACCAGAATCTGGCATGTTGCCCGACTGCTGGGAAGCTTTGATCCACTGGATGAATCATGTCGATCAACACGAGGGTACCAAAATACACTCGGTAGCCAGAAAAGCTATAAAATCCAAAACTGTTCCACTAGTTACCTCCTTTGTTTGTTCCAACGACGAAATTTATTTTCTGTGAACTGTTTTTTTGCATTTAGCTTGTTCCATCATGTTGTTTGAACTTGTTAATTTTCAGTTTGATATATTTTTTATGCTACTCGTTATCCACAAAAACAAGATCAAATCGGAGTTCACAACACAACAAAACACCTCGTGATATCCATAATTAGTTTCACCAAGGGAGTTCAAGATCATCAGAAGAAAACTTAAAGTGACAGTTAGAAATCATGGGCTCTCATATAATTTTGCTAAGAAAACAGTTTTCCGAGTAAATGCGTTTCTTAAATTTTCTCAATTCTTACCGTATCTTTAACAAATTTTTGAATCGTCATACTTTATTTTCAGGGTTAAATGAAAACTCTTATACTTTGGCTGCTGGTAACGCAGCCATTCATGACAGCGTTAGCAAACTCTGAATGTCATTCAGTTTATTCTCGCGAATGTTGGCCGAGAAAAATTCAGGAAATGGTTGGAATGATGGCCGGAGAAGATATCGAAAGGTGGGAAACTGTTTGCATGTTATAGTCGGCCCATACTCCCGGGGTACATCAAAATGGGGTACATCGGGGGTACATCGTGCTCATGGGGTACAAAGTCTCAGGGGGTACATAGTCTCATGGGGTACATTTTAGGTATAATCTCATGGGGTACATTTTTCGCTTTCTCATGGGGTACATCTCTGAAATACTCAGGGGGTACATCGCATTGTCTCAGAGGGTACATCGCATTGAATCTCATGTGGTAAACATCAAGTCGGATTCTACAGTTTCAGCGCTCATAGCTGCCTGATTTTTCCAACATTCGTTACATATTATGAGTGGTTTTTTTTGTTTTCCATGTAGTTATTCAAGAATGTAATTTCGCTTTTGATGTGGTTTGGAACAGAGATAACTGTCCAACATTATTTCTTCTCATTCATAATTCAGAAACATTTGGCTGATTGAAGAAAAATTGCCTATTGCAAGATATTCGGAGATTTCGGCAAATTCTCTTATACAACCATCTCTTATACTACTTTTCTCTTATACTACCGAGTCTCTTTTACTACCACTGTCTCTTATACTACTTTTTTCCAATGTGTCTCTTATACTACCGAGTCTCTTTTACTACCACTGTCTCTTATACTACTTTTTTCCAATGTGTCTCTTATACTACCGAGTCTCTTTTACTACCACTGTCTCTTATACTACTTTTTTCCAATGTGTCTCTTATACTACCGAGTCTCTTTTACTACCACTGTCTCTTATACTACTTTTTTTCAATGTGTCTCTCATACTACCAAGTCTCTTTTACTACCACTGTCTCTTATACTACTTCTTACCACAGAGTCTCTTATACTACCGAGTCTCTTTTACTACCACTGTCTCTTATACTACTTTTTTTCGATGTGTCTCTCATACTACCAAGTCTCTTTTACTACCACTGTCTCTTATACTACTTCTTACCACAGAGTCTCCCATACTACCAAAAGAAACAAGGCTTTCGGCCTAATCCTATAGTTGGCAAAAAATTTGGGGGGTACAAGGGGGTACAACTGATTTAGGGGTACAAAATTGGTGATTCGGGGGTACAAAATTAGTAGGTTCAAAAATTTGGGGGTGAAAACTACCAATGATTCTGGAGTACAACCCATTTCAAACAGGGGTACAACGCTTGTGATTCGGGGGTACAATTTTTTGAAGGAGTTTCTGAATTCCTGCATTCCAGAGCTTGAAAATCTCAGAATTCTTAGAATTTCAGAACTTTGGAATTTCAGTATTTCGGAATCTGAGAATTTCGGAACTTCAGAAACTGAAAATCTGAGAACTTCAAAATTTCAGAATTTCAGGGCCTCAAAACCTCAGAATTTCAGAACTTCAGATCTCAATATTTCTGAATTTTCAAAAACTACGGCAGAAAATTTTCACTTCTCATTGTCTTTTGATTGTTCTTTTTGATTTTGTGTCATATATTTCACTCTTTATGAAAAAAAAATTGTGGAAATTGTTGGGCATTTGCTGAAAGGCATTAGTTGCTTTGAATTTTTGAGTCTCGAAATTTCTAGAACGTACACAATAGAGAACTGTAAAATAATCTTCACAAATTTCACAAACTCAGGATTTTAATGTTTAATTTAGGTTTTAAACCCCAGTCCATACTTCCCTCACTACCAATTTTTCTTAATTGTTTTTTCTCAATTCTATTTCATTTCCTTTTGCTTTCAATATTCCTTCGTTTTTGCCCAATTTTCCGTTTTTTCCCATTTTTTCAATTTTTCTCAATTTTTCCCAATTTTTCAATTTTCCTCAAGTTTCGTGGTAAGTTGAAATGTTCTCATTTTTTCATAATTTTCTAAATTATTGAATGAAGGAAACAATCACAATTCAGTGATTTTCCCACAAAAATTCAAAAATCCCAAAAATTGGCACAAAATGAGCTATTTTCTTTCGAAAATTGTTCGAACTGGGCAATAAAACACTACAAAAATTATTAAATTATTTTTTTTCGATTAATTACCACGAAAATTTGAGCAAAAACTATGAAAAACGAAGGAAAACGGAGAAAAATCCCAAAATAAAATTTCCCAGTGATGACGTCATCAGTCCATGGCCGTGGCCGAGCTGCGGGGTTTTCTCTTCCATGGGAAATTTCGCAAAATTCACAGCTTTTCGCAAATCCCATTTTTCTCTATTTTCCTTCATTTTTCATAGTTTTTGCTCAAATTTTCGTGGTAATTAAAAAAAAATCGAAAAAAATGAATTTAATAGTTTTTGTGGTGTTTTATTGCCCAGTTCGAACAATTTTCGAAAGAAAATAGCTCATTTTGGGCCAATTTTTGGAATTTTTGAATTTTTGTGGGAAAATCACTGAATTGTGATTGTTTCCTTCATTCAATAATTTAGAAAATTATGAAAAAATGAGAACATTTCAATTACCACGAAACTTGAGGAAAATTGAAAAATTGGGAAAACTTGAGAAAAATTGAAAATTTGGGAAAAATTGAGAAAAATTGGGAAGGAAGCTCTGGAATGCAGGAATTCAGAAACTCCTTCAAAAAATTGTACCCCCGAATCACAAGCGTTGTACCCCTGTTTGAAATGGGTTGTACTCCAGAATCATTGGTAGTTTTCACCCCCAAATTTTTGAACCTACTAATTTTGTACCCCCGAATCACCAATTTTGTACCCCTAAATCAGTTGTACCCCCTTGTACCCCCCAAATTTTTTGCCAACTATAGGATTAGGCCGAAAGCCTTGTTTCTTTTGGTAGTATGGGAGACTCTGTGGTAAGAAGTAGTATAAGAGACAGTGGTAGTAAAAGAGACTTGGTAGTATGAGAGACACATCGAAAAAAAGTAGTATAAGAGACAGTGGTAGTAAAAGAGACTCGGTAGTATAAGAGACTCTGTGGTAAGAAGTAGTATAAGAGACAGTGGTAGTAAAAGAGACTTGGTAGTATGAGAGACACATTGAAAAAAAGTAGTATAAGAGACAGTGGTAGTAAAAGAGACTCGGTAGTATAAGAGACACATTGGAAAAAAGTAGTATAAGAGACAGTGATAGTAAAAGAGACTCGGTAGTATAAGAGACACATTGGAAAAAAGTAGTATAAGAGACAGTGGTAGTAAAAGAGACTCGGTAGTATAAGAGACACATTGGAAAAAAGTAGTATAAGAGACAGTGGTAGTAAAAGAGACTCGGTAGTATAAGAGAAAAGTAGTATAAGAGATGGTTGTATAAGAGAATTTGCCGAAATCTCCGAATATCTTGCAATAGGCAATTTTTCTTCAATCAGCCAAATGTTTCTGAATTATGAATGAGAAGAAATAATGTTGGACAGTTATCTCTGTTCCAAACCACATCAAAAGCGAAATTACATTCTTGAATAACTACATGGAAAACAAAAAAAACCACTCATAATATGTAACGAATGTTGGAAAAATCAGGCAGCTATGAGCGCTGAAACTGTAGAATCCGACTTGATGTTTACCACATGAGATTCAATGCGATGTACCCTCTGAGACAATGCGATGTACCCCCTGAGTATTTCAGAGATGTACCCCATGAGAAAGCGAAAAATGTACCCCATGAGATTATACCTAAAATGTACCCCATGAGACTATGTACCCCCTGAGACTTTGTACCCCATGAGCACGATGTACCCCCGATGTACCCCATTCTGATGTACCCCGGGAGTATGGGCCACTAAAAATGGGTGATGCAACAAGCAATCCATTCGTATGTAAGCTTTTGAAAGAATCATTGTCAGATACAACTGTTCTGGAAAAACCGAAATGCAATGGATGGAAACCGGAAAAACAAGCATTGTATGGGGAGTATACTATATAGCGACTGGACTGTTTTTCCAAATTATTGGATGGCCAATTCTAATGATACTCATTTTCAAAATGGACGGACTGACAGTTCACAGAATTCTTGCTTTTATTGGATTTGTCGGAATCACAGAAATATGGGGAAATTCCATCTGGCCTGGGATTTCTGTAATAATGGGTACAGTTTATTGTTCGCATCCCTTTGTTACAACTTTCTTCGGAAAGCTCACAATGGGTTAGTTCAATATAGTTTTAGGAAACACGTTGATTCGAATGTTTCAGTGCAATGGGTTCTTGGGTCTACTACTGCTATCTTTCTCGGAATACATCGTCTTTCCAACTTGTTCACTAAAAATAGGACCGAAGTGAGTTTCAGACATTTACATGATAAAATTATGGGGCACGCTATCATTATCAAAATTTCAGAACAATTGGAAGACGATTGGATGGTTTTCACTTTTCGTAGTCTACTCTCTCTATGGATCCTTGTTTTACGACACTGTATTATTCAATTCTCGTTATATGGCACCTCTTCTGAATCCTCAGATCGACCCACAATCCACGGACTACACCAACTACTTTCTTCGCTTCCATAACATAACCGTTTCGATTGCCTTGGTTCTTATCTATGGTATTATTGCTGCTATTTGGAGTAGACGCGAGATAGTGGTCTCATCAAGCTATGTATCGCGTACTCAGGCAAGCGTAAGTTTTTCTTTCAGAAATGTTCTCCCAAACAACTTGTTTTTTTTTCAGATTCTGATACAATCACTCATAATCTCAGCCACCTACGCTGTACCAGCAATCTTCTTCGATCTCATGTATTACATAAAAGACTGTCCTGCGTCGTTTACTATGGCTGCCGACTTGTCATACCAATTGAGTGGAGGTGAAATTTTGAAGCCATACGGAACTATGGTTCTCTAACTTCTGGATTTTCAGGGCTCCCATTCATCACTTACATCTGTCTCAACCAGAAGATTCGAAAGTTTTTTTTTGCTTTTTTCCTCCGTAAAAATCCAAACCAAATCACTGTTTCAGTGGTCACATCAACAGTTCTAATTTCCAATTAATCGGTTGAAATCCTCTCTTATTTATGTTAATCCCATCATGTCTTTACATCAGCTCCAAAAAAACCATCAAGTATTAATATTGTACCGAATCCTATCAGTATTGAATTTTAACTCAGTTTTTTTCTCTTATGAAGATCCAGATGAAATAATTTCAAATTAAATTATTGGAATAGAGCTTCCTAGCTTTGAAAGAAGTCAGACCAGTAAAACTAGTGGCTCATAATTACCCGGACTGAAGTTTGTACTAGCATAACATTTCAGTTAAAGGCTGTACTGGGATCAAATTTAGAGAGTGAAAATTGAAATAATGGATCAGTAAATTGGCAATGTTTCAAGTTATTTTATCCATTGTGGGCTGATTTATCGCATGTCAAAGTTGATTTATCTCATGAAAATCACCTTTCTTCTTTGCACAACCATAACAATACCTAGACTTGAGGAATCGCTTTGATAATTTCAGTAGCTTTGAATCAAGCGTGAATTCATATTTCTACCAATTTTCGTAATTCTCGTATATTTATGTCTAAAGATGTGCCCGTTTTTATCAGTCCGGGTAATTGTGCGGCACCCAATAAATCGTTTTACCGCTTCTGAAGGTCTTGCTTAAGTTTGAACATTGAAACTTCTAATTTGTCAGACGTATTCTTAAATTTCAAGTCGGCTGATTTAATTGATGTGAAACTTCTCTGGGGCGCTATAAAACAAACCTTCAGGCATCCTTAAATTTTGAAATTAGAATAATTCACAACATTTGTTTAATTAAGTATTCTTACTTCCTGAAATTACACAATCGCTTTCCAATTTTGTTCAAAATGCTATTCCAATGCAACTTTTCTCAACACTTATGTTTTTCAGAAGAAGTCCAACTAAATTATATCGAACACACCTTAGAAAATTTAAAAAGCTTTTAAATTGATTATTGTGTGATTTGCTTGTAAAAATTTTGTTATCTCACAGATTATTCTCAAGATACTTGAGAAAAAAAACGAGATTTCGTAATCGCAATCATCGAGAAATTCGCAATTTGATATGCCGCACGATACGCTATCAATGAAAAGAAATAGGGGGAGAGATTCTCAAAAAATATGGAAAACTGGAATCTTGGAATTAAGAATGAATCCATGAATAATTAAATCAGAAGGAAGCATACTAAACAACTGACTCAATTTGAAAATGATTCTTCTTGCTAAACTTAAGAAATTCTATTCCAACCGAAAAAATGAATATTCCACTATAGTTGCTGAGAAAAATGGTAAGTTCGAAATATGTACAGAGACGATCAAACGTTTATAAACTTCACTTGTTTTCTGGTGGAAATAGGTTAGTTTATGTTGTAGTCTGAAAACAGTTTTTTTTCTGAATTTTTGGAAATCTTTAATCCTTATTTAAAAAATGAACTACAAGTATGAACCCTAAGTTTTGTTGAGTAAACCTTTGAATTCACAGGAAGATCGCTGAAAAACGGGTATTCAAAAACTGTCGCTCTTTGTTCTCTAACTTTTTCCATTGAAATTGAGATTACCAGAGTCCTCTATAACTTCTATACTGGAATAACTTCAAAATAAATATTTTACAAAACTTTCCATTCTGCAAAAATTTGGTTCGCCAACCAGCCAGCACCCTTCGATTGTCATCAAGCAGGTTCAACAACCGATTTTTTTGAGGTGGTCCGATGTGAGGAATTTTTAATTTTAGAAGTTAAAACTTCTATCATTATTCTATAACCTAGTGGGAGCATAAATTATTGTTTTTTGGCTGATTTCCAATCAAAACTTTCAAGTCAGCTTCCAAGGTGTTCCGATGGTCCGTCGACAGTCCGTCAACGGCCCGTCAGCTTTTCTCCGGCTGCCAACTAGCACTCATTCGTCAGTTTGCGCATCTTCAGCTCTAATTTAGCAGTTTCTCAGCAATTCCCCTTCACCGATGTTCATATTTTTCTAATAAGGATTACATTAAGAAGTTATCAATACTTATCATTTACTCATAAGAAAATGATATGCTCATCATTTTTTCATTTGTGTGACGAGTGTTGATATGTATTATTGTGTTGTTCAAAAAATCAAACTTCGAAAGAGAATAAGCTAGTATTAAAATAGAAAAATTTTTTCAAAATTTGGTTAGAAACATTTTTCCGATTCATCTCAAGTTTTGGCCCCTCATCAGATATTCCTTTTCCCTCCTTTTCCATTGCCCAAGTCTTATAAATCCGACTGATGTGAGTGCATTTGACGTGTCACCCACTCTTCTCCATCGATCTCTCTTATTTTCTTTTCGATCAAAGCGGATTGAGAGCTCTTTTTGTTTCCGAGGTGACACTTTTCCATTTCACTGACTCTGACACCGCATTCGACGAGCGTGTGCATGTTCAAATTTTGAATAATTTTGCAAGAATTGTATGTCCAGACGAATAAATTACTATGCTCGTCATACTGGATCACGAAACTGGAACAATTTAGAGTTTTTTCACCAAAGTTACAGAATATTTTTAGTTCTTGTCTCACTTCAGATTCCTTCTTTATTTTCTTTTCTTCTCGAAACTCTAATTTTTGTGTACAATGAAAACCTGGCAACCTTCTGATCTAGCCGTTGTCTAATCGATCTTCGTCGTTTTCTTTCTAATTCTTTTCAGGTCATGTCTTTCTTTTTTCCTGCCACCAACCCCTTTTTCTTTAATTTATTGCATAATTGTTTTTCTTTTTATTTTGATTGATTCTTGTGTTGAATAGGTTACGGTAGCTTGGGAAGTTGAGAAACGGGAATAGACGAAATTTATGCAGGTTTTGTGAAACCAAAAACTGGAACTTTTAGTTTTAATACTCTCCGTTACAAGCAAAACATCAAAAGTATTATTCTGGTACCAAAAAACTGAGCTGTGGAAGAGAAACGCCGGCGGCCGTGTTTTAAGGTCCCACAACGGCAACTACCATACCCTAAAGAATTATTATAAATTTCCGGATATATTTTCTGAATGTTTCCTTTTCAGTCAATTTTTTACTATCAGAATGTTTTTTTTCGACTTTTTTGGGGGAATAAAATAAACTCGACGAAGAGCAGTGAAAACCAGAAAAAATAAATACGGAAAATAAACATTTTTGGCTACGGTAGTTGTCGTTGTGGAACCTATGGCTACGGACACCGACGTTTCTTTTCCACAGCTCTGATTTTTGTGCCGGAATAATAAGACAGAAAATATTACAGAAAACCTAAATTACAAATTTTTTATTGGTTTAAATTATATTTTTGGAGACATATAAAAATAAAATGTTGTCCAATTAGCAAACAGAAGACTCAGGAAAATAAAACATAACCTGAACATGTATAAATTGTAATTTTGCCAAAAAAAATATTATATTGATAAAAAATATTATATTGATAAAAATATTATATTGAAAAAATATTATATTGAGACGAACATCAGATTCAAGTTTTGGGAAATCCCTTTAGCTTCAAACAATCAAAACATTCTGGACTATTTCAAACACACAGAGAGACACGAAAATCCGAACAAATCTCAGCCTCAATCGCCATTTGAAAAGCAAAAAGAGCCCCCGAAAACGCCCCCAAGCGGCGGCGACCAGCCAGCGTCCACAGTAGTCTCTGTTCGTCGTGATCTTTTCTTTTCCTCTATTCGTACACTATTTCTCCATCTCCATCGTGTGCACTCACATAGCAGGAGAGCAGCATTCGTACGCATTTTCTTCTTTTCCATCTCTTCTCCAGAAGTTTACCCTCGTGTAGCTCTTCCATCCTGCGTCTCTTTTCCCCCATACTCTCTCATCTCCAATGCATTTTGTCGACAAGAGGGCCGGTCTTCAACACAGACGGAGATGGGAAGAAAGAGACACATACAGAGAAGAGAGAAGACACTTCCTTTCTCATCTGTGTTTCTCAATGCATTTCAGTTCTCTAGATGGGGATAGAGAGTGCCAATTGGAAGAGGGTACAGAGAAAACAGCACGTGTGGAGACCCCATTTCGATTCCCACGTTTGTGAGTAGTTGTGTCTCTTTGGTTGGACACTGTTTTCTTCTTTTTGTCTTTGATTTTCAATTTTTCGTATATGCTCTAACGAACTGCAAAGCTCAAATTGCCTAGGAAAAGTTTTAACCAGTCATTTTTATCAGTAGTTTTCTTTGAATAGCGTTTTTTGTCTATTTCTGAGTTAACTCTGAATTAAATTAGTTAGAATTGACTAATTTACTAATATTCGAATTGATTTTTAAGGATTTCCGGAATATTTCCTTTTTCAATAAAAAGTTTTCATTTTTGGATTGTTTTCAAACAAGTTTAGTTTGAACCACTGGTTTCAAAAGACTTTTATTTCTCACAGCATTGGCTGGGATACTGTATCTATCTTCTCCCCTTAAAGTCATAAAATATTCCCATTCTGAATGTTCTCAACTGTGAGAACATTGAATCGATTCTTTTTTTCTTCAATTCAGTCTTTCCTTTTCTAACAGCCGGTTCTCTTTTATATTCTTTCTCTTCCCTTCCCGATACTGCTTTTCTTCTGCTGCTTTTTTCTTTTGTTTTAGTCCCGAAAAGCAAAACGGATTAGGTTACTGTAGATGTGTTTTCTATTTCATTTCCACTCTGAAACTTTCCGATAATCCGATAAATCGCCTTTGACCGGAAACAGTTTATACCGTGGTTGAACTTATTCAAGACCCATTTTATATACAATTTTAAAATTCTGAAGTGAAAATTTTTTGTTCGATTTTCTTCTTTCCTCCTTTCGTTCGTGTTTACCCAACCAATCCTTTTCAAAAGAAGCGACTGGAGGAGGACAGAAAAAGAGTACGGTAGAAAAACTGAAAAAGAAGGAAAGTGGGTTTTAGGTGGTGATAAACAAGCGCTCTTGACTCTCAATGACACACATTTTTTTCGGTTTTTCTGCTTATAAGCTTTTTCAAAACAGTTTCATAAGACTACTGTAGCTTCCGGTTTTGGGGAACAAGTTATTTTCAGACTTGTCTTTCGTTTTTGTTTTTTTGTTATTGTGAAGGAACAGTTAATAATACTTTATCTATCTGAAGCATTTTAATATTTTACAAAAATTTGCCTTTTCCCGTTTTCAGTGCTTTTTCAGTGCTTATCGTATTCTTTTTTTCCTAATTTCACTTTTTAAAAAACAATTAGGATTACATTATGAATCCGCCATATACATGCGTAATCCATAATCCAACAAAACTTGATGTTGAGTCCGAGAATGTGAAGTTGTCAAAAAAAAGCAGTTACCGTAATCTGGAATACTGTACCACACCCTATTTTAATTTTCCCCAGTCCTCCTTCTTTTCGCCTATTGGTTGTCCTTGCAAAGCCATTTTCACCCCGTCTTTGGGTCATTTTTGACCGCCACGGACGAACCGGCTGAGGGCCAGATGGAATTTTGATAAAGATGTTGAAATGTGCAAGGCCGAGAGGGCCGATTATTTTCGGGGGTCGGGTTTTCCGTTGTCTACTCTGCAAAATGACCTTTTCTTGCCTATAATGTCCTTTTTCTGCTTTTCTGTCTGTATTTGCGTCTTCCTCCTCTTGCGGTACACACGGCGGACGGACGACGGAGTGGTTGAACAGAATGCGGGCGGCGAGTGAGAGAAGAGAGTGGTGGTACCAGGAGACCATGACCAATCTCATGAAAGCATCGTGAGAGGAGTCTATGGTCAGTAGGCGCCTGAGAGAGAAAGAGAGAGAGAGAGAGAGAGAGAGAGAGAGAGAGAGAGAGAGAAAAAAGCTAAATAGTTAATGGCATATGATCAGGAGTGTTCGAGATTTAAAAAAGTTGTAATTTTAATTTATGATTTGCCCTCTTCGATATAATTGTATTTTTTTCCTCTTTTCTTTATTTGATCTTTGAATTTTCAATTTTATTTCAATCATGAATTAGTGTTTTCGATATAGGATTTCATCTTTGCACACTTGACCTGATAGGAAAAAATGTTCCTTGTTCAATAATTTTTAATCCTAATAATCCAATGTTCCCAACACTCTTGCCACTTCAAAACCACATAATAAGTATTAATAGCCGGTCAGGACTCCTCATATCCCCTTCACAGAAAAGCTCTCATTTTTCTATACGATTCTTTCAATAGTAATCATTCTGAATTGTATTATGCGGCCGATATGATTCCATTATGAATACATTCCCATCTAAAACATATTTATTCAGTTCCTTTTCATCTTGGCGTAGTCGCCTTCTTTCAAAACAAAACCGATCGGCTAAAAACGATCGTTACTATTGACTTGATAGGTGGTGACACTTGGGTTCAAGCGAGGGGGTCAGAAAGCGCGTCCCAGTAAATTTTTCAAAAATTCTCAATTCGCTGCCGAACTTCGTTGGTTGAGTATCGCAGTTTTAAACGATGAGCGAGAATATGCGCGTTGAAACCCGTTGATTTTTAAGAAATAGATCATGATCTAGTTCAAACCCGCGTTCATTTCAAAATTATTAAATTTCTTCTGGCTTACGAGTTTGCTGGGGCGCTTTTTCTGACCCCCTCGCTTGAAGTGTGGTGAAGCAATATTTTTGTGAATGAAAATCCCTGTAATTCTTTTTGAATAATTTCCGACTTTTGTATAATTCGGGCAGATGGGACTCAGAAAGGCAGATGTTTCGATTTCATGGTTTCGTGGCCTTGTTTTTATGACATCCGTCGAATTGTGGCTTTATCGGTTGACCAATTGGCCTGCGGGCCTACTTCAGCATAATGAACCATTTTTATTCAATACGAGGTTAATAACCGTTGCGACCTTATCGCTTTCCATTTATACTGTGTTCAAAGTAGACTTTGTAGAACACCAGTGAATTTTTGCGTTGTTCAAAACCGTAAAATTTCGTTAAAGGCGCATGGTCCTTCAGTGCAGTTGAAATTAAAGGGTTGCGCCTTTAAGAAATTGTACGGTCGGGCTAGCAACAACGAAGAAAACTTTTTTGAGACGCTTCTCTTTGTATCATTTGCTTTAGCCATTACACGCTCTCCCACAGAACAATTCCGAACTGCAAAAAATTTTTGATCTACAGAAAAAAAGTTTAGCGCGATCACAATTGCAGGTCTAAAACCATAAGTTCAGAATTTTTTATCTGATTTTGTGGAGTTCCAAGATGATTCAAATGATTCTTAAAAAATTAATTAGTGATTATAGATTCATGTATGGTCGTTTTCCGGAAGAAAAAAATGTCAAAAATGGTCATTTTGAAAGTTTTTTACAGAAAACATCTATCTCCTCTTTCAGTTTTTGACATTTCTAGGAGTTCTATAGCTCAAAAAAACCGCAATTTTTTCTCTACATTTTCTATATTTTGTGCAATTTCATGAGGTTTTTGAATTATAAAGAAAGTTTTATCAGACAAATTAAAAATTCATCCATAGAAAATGTAGAGAAAATAATTGCGGTTTTTTTTGAGCTATAGAACTCCTAGAAATGTCAAAAAACTGAAAGAGGTGATAGATTTTTTCTGTAAAAAACTTTCGAAATGACCATTTTTGACATTTTTTTTTTCCTGGAAAACGACCATACATGAATCTATAACCACTAATTAATTTTTTAAGAATCATTTGAATCATCTTGGAACTCCACAAAATCAGATAAAAAATTCTGAAATTATGATTTTAGACCTGCAATTGTGATCGCGCCAAACTTTTTTTCTGTAGATCAAAAATTAATTTGCAGTTCGGAAATGTTCTGTGGGAGAGCGTGCATTAGTCAATTTTTAAATTTGTTAACATGTTATATCATTAAAAACAATTAATTTTAATACATGACACTGTAAGAGTCCAATTTCCCGAAAATCCGAAAATTCCTTGATTTATTTTTTTGCCATTTGACTACCGTAGTCTTTCGCAGACACCGCTACGTCAGATTGCACAGTTCTCCCCAAATTTTAAATCCGAAAGAAACGAANAGGCTTGCTCACACATCACCTGGAATATTAATTTTGATGAAACTATTATATTTCGTCACTAAATCTTACTTTTAGCCGGTCCAGTTGATATTTATCAGCCGCCGCAATCAGACTTTGAGCCATTTGATCTATATACCTAGCTTGTCCTGTATACATATAAACCAAAAGTTCTCGCATCACATCGGGATCAATGTCATCTACTGTTGTCATGTTGGTATCAGATTCCTGCATATGATGGTCGAACATCGCCGAGAAAACACGTGATCGTGCAGATACGATAGCTTTGTGAATGTAGAAGGTCTGCGGAGGAGCCCCATTTTCCGACTTGCAGATCAAAGTGAAGTCCGAAAACTGTTGCTTATCGAAAAGTCCCTGCATGTCATCAGCAAGCCGGCAAGGAGGTACTTTGAAGAGCTGCGTGACATTCGTTTGTCCTGTTACGTTAATCGTCTCTGCTACAACCGATACCTGCAAACGTAAAATAGGTTTAAGAATAAATTGAATCGATAACTTACTTCACAGAAGATGCTTAACCGATCTCCAGGAAGCAATCCGTTGGCCTCATCGAGTAAGAAATCCCGTCGAATAAACTTTTTGAATCCCCAATCTTTTCCTTGCACAAATCGATAAGCTCGCTGA